GTGTAGGGGGTCTGACCAGTCACCATCTGAACCTCCTGGTTCACCCTGCTACACACACACAGATTCATAGGCATAGACACACACACACACACACACACACACACACACACACACACACACACACTTTCTCACACTCAGAGACAGTTACACAGACACATACAGACATACAGACACAGACACAGACACACACGCACACGCACGCGCACACACGCCCCTCTACGGTCCCCACTGTCCAGCCCTCTCTGGAGCGGGACTCCGCGGGCTGCACTCGGTCGCTGGGTGCCCGGGTACGCATCCCTGCCCACGCCCCGGGGCCTCCAGCCACGCGAGGACCACGCGTCCTCCGATGGGTCCCGGGTGCCCAGCGGCTGCCTCGGCCCAGCGCCAGCCCGGCTCCCCGGAGCACAGCTCCGACCCGCGGTACAAAGAGCCGAGCCGCGCGCCCTCCGACCTCAGGAACTTCCCGGGGCGAGGGAAACTGCTGCGCGCCCACACCCACGGCCGCGGGGGGCATTTCTTACCTGCCGTGCCCCTCCCTCGGGCCGCCCGCCCCGCGCCGGGTCCCGCTACGAGCGCTGCGCACTCTCCCGCTGCGCGCGGCTGCTGCAGGGCCCGGCGGCGGTGGCGGGGACCAGACAGCGGCCCCAGCCGGCGTCAGTCAGACTGGAGCCGCCAAGCCTCCTAGCCAGTATTAGTGCGCGGTCCTGGAGCGCCGCCAGCCCTGCGCCCGCCCCGCTGGCCAGGAGGGGCCGCAGCCCGCCGCGCTGGGCCCCTCCGCCGCCCCGCCAGGCCCTGCCCGCCCCCGTGCCTCTCCTTGCGGCCCTTGAACTTGTCCCGTCCACCTGCAGCCAGAGACACATACCAGGACCACCAACCCGTGGAACTCTCCCGAACCTGTGTTGTGGTCCCGGTGACCACCCCCTAGCCGTTTGCTTCTTTTTTGCTTTTCGGAGTGAGGTTCGCCCCTACCCCCTGACAGCGCCATGAACATGGTTTGCACTGGTACTGTGAGTGGCGAGTAGTGGGTTGTGATTTCTTTACCAAGCATGTAATATTAGCTAATCTAATAAGATGCAACTTCATGGGCACACAGCAATGTTAATGTACATCCTTCTTGCCCAGCGGCCTGGCTGTCCCCTAGGTAGCTGGCCTCTTGAGGTCACTGTGCACTCCCAGAACTCACTGCGAAATGCCACTTAGGAAATGGCCTGGTGGCAGAGTGTCCGGCCAAGTGCTGTGATACAGATCATAAAGGTGGGCCAGAATGGCTACTGTGTGCATAACCTACTAAGGTTTGGAGACTAGACATCTCAACTATCAAACCCGTTGCATGAGTAAGAAAAAGAAGGTTGCATGGTAGGTAGTTCATTCATAACAAACACTTAGGGACCGAGACAAGAAAAGGATGGGTGGTCAATTTGGCAGTGAAGAGCAAACAAGTGTTTACAGTGAAGTTCCCCTGACCCAAAATTTGGTGAGTGTTGCACATGTGCCCTCGAGTTCCACACTCATGCATCTCACAAGATGAGATTTATTATTTTTGTTTTACAGTTGAAGAGCCTGGGGCACAAATTAACTTCCCCAGGGGCTGACCCAGAATTCAAACTCCACTTAGCCTGAGTCCAGAGCCTAAGCAGCAAACCAGCACTCCTCACTGTCTTTCTGGAATCCAAGGGAATTGTAGTGTTTGAGCTCAATGCCACAGCAAATGTTCCGGGAAGGATGACCAACACTGGTGACCAAGTGGAAGTAGAGTCGGAGGCAGTAAGAGGTGAGGCAGTAAGAGGTGAGGAGGCGGACAAGAAGCTGTGACAACACCTAGGCTGGAGATGAAAAGCCTTCACCACAAAACAGGGTCTGCAAGATTCTAGAAACCAAGAACAATGCATTTTGTGGACACTTGGAAGGGAAAATCAATGGAATGTGGGGAATCGAGAAGCAAAGATGGAAGAAAAGTGCTGTATTTGGAAGAAATCAATGTTGGGAAGCCAGAAGCTGCTTTGGGGAGGAATAATGATACGAAATCACCTTCTGCTCTGCAAAGTCACTCCCTACCCCCAGTTTATTGGCTGTTTGCCTTTTTCCTCTGTAGCAGCATCACTGAGTGTTGTTATATAACCTGTTTGTTTTGGCTGTGTCTTCTATAACAATGCCAGTTACAGCTGTCCACATAGCCTGAGCTGAGTTTGGCATATCATAGGAGCTGGGTAAAGATCTGCTGACTGAATGACACGCTTGGTGTGTGGTTAGGATGTGAGAAAAGTGATTAGGAGAGAGATGGAGCTTTGGAACGTATCTATGGAGGTGACAGCAGCTTCCAAAATTAAACAGATGCTAGAGTGAGGGGAAAGCAAACAGGCAGAAGCTGCACCCATGCAAGGAATGGGAGGAAAAAAGTAAAGCCTTTGAAACAGAGGGAAGACTCAGGATGTAGTTCTTTGGTGGAGCACCTGCCTGGCATGTGCAAGAGTCCTGTAGTCAGTGCCCAGAAACACAGGCACACATGCATGCACCCCAACAGTCTAAAGCAATAAACCTCCAGAGGTAGAAAGATAACCCATACCTTACAGTTCTATGTCAGGGTCAGGTTGGGAATGAAAATATGTGGTCACTTGCTCCTCTGAGAAAGAGTAGGGTGTACACTAGGTTCCATCTACAGGCAGCTGCTGATGCCAGCTTTAGCTTGCTGTTGCCCTGTAAGAACTAGGATATATTTCCAAGAGCTAACAGACATCCAGAATTTTATGGAAAATTTTACAATTAAAAAATATTAGGCCAAAAAGATGGCTCAGCTGGCAAAAGACCTTGCCGCACAGGCCTGGCAACCTGACCCCACAAAAAGGTGGAAGGAGAGAACTAACTCCACAACGTTGTCCTCAGACCTCTACATGTACACTGTGGCATGCACATTTTTGTGCATACCCCACACAGTAATAATCATAAATTGAAAAAAATCTTTCTGGGCTGGTGAGATAGCTTCTCCAGTAAAACACACTCTGCATAAGCCTGACGACTTGACTTTGATCCCTAGACTCCACACTGTGGAATGAGAGAACGAACTCCAGCAAAATGCCCTCTGACCTCCATGCTTACACACACACACACACACACACACACACACACACACACACACGATACCGATGTACTTGCAGCACTAAGATACAGGGAAAAGTACTGATATTGTTTAAAAAGGCTCAGTTTTTTTTCTTTTTGGTTTTTCGGTCTTTTTGAGACAGGGTCTCCTTGTAGCCCCAGCTGTGTCCTGGATTCACTATGGAGACCAGGCTGGCCTCGAACTCAGAGATCCACCTACCCCTGCCTCCTGACTGCTGGTATTAAAGGCGTGAGCCACCACGCCTGGCCTCATATTTTTTTAAGTGCAGGCTGAAGAAAACATCTGTGAGCTAAGCCTGACTAGGTACCTCTGGGTTTTTACCTCCCACTCCTCCCACTCATTCAGCATCTCTCATTCTGTCCAGTTCTCACCAGGTGGTGGTACCTGCCTCTCCTGTCTTGGCTCTTGATTCCCCTGCACAGGGCATATGCCTTCTGCACCATCTGCACCATCAGGGCTGTTCCAATGTTCTTAGAAGTCACCAGTGACCTTCAGCTATCAATTCAAGAACTTCATTCTTTTAGAATATTTGAAATGTATCCTTATTATATATTAAATTCAGATTGTGATGGTTTGAGTTGAGGAATGCCCTGTATAGGCTCCAAGTATTTGAATATTTGGTCAGTTGGTGGTGGTGTTTGTGGAGGTAGATAACTGGAGGTGGGCTTTGAGAGTCTCATAGCCTTGACCTACTTCTAGCTTGTCTCTCTCTGTTTCCTGTGCCAGCTTGAAGATGTGAGTACATCACTCAGCTAACTGCTCTGGATGCCTCCTGCCATGCCTCCCCACCATGATGGACTCATCCCTCTGGAGTTGTAAACCCAAATAAACTCTTCCTTGTATAAAGTGCCTTGGTACTGGTGTTGTATTATAGCAACTGAAAGGCAGCTAAAACACAGATTATCATTGGAATTAATCAAATTCATTTATTCAAATTGTTATATAATGATGTTATCTGGGAACCATTTTAGAAGCTAGATGGCACTGACATTTTTTTAACCATCTTACCTATGTTCAAGTGTATAGTTCAGTAGTATTGATACATTTACATTGATTAGATCTTTAAAATTTTTCCATCTTGCAAAAGTGAAACTCTGTGCCCATTAAGTGCTGATTCCTCATCCCTCTTTCCTTTGCCCTTAGCACCATCTTTCCATCTTCTCTTTCTATGACTTGGACAATGCTGGGTGCTGCACATAATCAGACTCATACATGTTTGTCTGCGTGATTGGCTTATTTTGCTTAGCATACAATGTGCTCAAGGTTCAGTCATAGAGCATGAAATTGTCATATTTTTAAGGCTGTGTAATATTCCATTGCGTGTATGCCACATTTTCTTTTACCATTCAGTGGTCAATGGGCAGTTGGGTAGCTTCTACTTGTGGCTGTTGTGATAACAATACTGTGACCACAAGATGTATGTACAAATATCTCTTCAAGTTCTGCCTCAAAGCCACCTGTGGTGGCAAACTCCTGTAACCCCAGCACTCTGAGGTAGGATGGTGATGAATTCAAAGCCTGCCTGAGCTACATAGTAATAAAAAAAGTTGTTTTTCAAGATTCTGCTTTGAGGGGCTGGAGAGATGGCTCAGCAGTTAAGGGCACTGTCTGCTCTTGCAGAGGACCTGGGTTAGTTCCCGGCACCCACATGGCCGGTAACAGCAGCTCATTGCTCCAGTTCCAGGGGATCTGATGCCCTTTTCTGGCCTCCATGGGCACTGCACAACACTGGTGCATTTGCACACATGCCAGCAAAACAGTCATACACATTAAAAAAAAAAAAAAAAGGTTCTGCAGATACATACCAAAATGTGTGGTTACTGAATCAATGGTAATGGCATTTTTAATAGTTTGAAGAAACCTCCATAATGTTTTCCATCATGGCTAGACCACATTCACCAACAGTGTAAAAAGTCTGACTTCTTTGACTACACATCTCTTTTCTGTTCTTTTGATTGTGGCCCTCCTATTGGGTGTGAGGCCATGCCTCACTGTTGCTTTGATTTGCATTGCTCGCATGCTTAGTCTGCTGAGCATCATTTCATATGCTTGCTATCATTTGTATGTTGTCTTGGAGAATTCTCTATTGAACTGCTTTGCCTAGTTTTCTATTTGTTTGGCTTTGGGTTTTTTTCTGTTGAGTTGTGGGGATTCCTTGTGTTCTGGATATTAGTCCCTTATCCAGACAAAAGATTTAAAAATATGTTACTTAGTAGGCTGCTTTTTTTTTTTTTAATTGTTTTTTTTTTAAAGTATTATTTTTTAAAAAAATATTTTATTTTTGTTTTACATGTATGTATATGAGTATATTGCCTGCATGTATGTGAGTGCACCCGTGTCATGCAATGCCACAGAGGTCAGAAGAGGGCTTTGGATTCCTCTGGAACTGGAGTTAAGGACGGTTTGTAGCCACCATGTGGGTGCTGGGAATCAAACCCGGGTCCTCTGCAAGAGCAGTCAGTGCTCTTAACTGCTGAGCCATCTTTCTAGCTCCTAATTTATTATTTTTATTTTATGTGTGAGTGTATTG